GATCTACGGCATCGATTCAACGACAAACAACAACTCCGTGCTATGCTCAAGGCCAGGTAATGAAAGCTCGAAGACTTGAACGAATAACATTCAAAAATAGACTTCGTCGATGAGTTTGTTCTCTATAGGCGATTGGACGTGAATGTGGATGATGTTGAGGCGAAGTATCAGCGATGGTGGAAAGCGTANNNNATTCTCAGTGTCGCGAACTTTTTTGTTCTTCATGAATTTTTCTTCTTCATTGAAGTTCCAACTCTGAGTTATGCTTGAGATCGAATGCAATGAATTGATCGCAAAATCAGTTTCAATTCGGCAACAACCACCGAAATATCGCTATCACTAAATCGTTTGCTTGTGTAGGAAAGTCGCGATGCCAAGCTGAAAGGACAGCTGCTCAGCGAAAGTGACGGTCTTCTGAGCGCGTTGAGACTGCCGAATGATCTAGCACCAGGAACACCAACTGTGGACAGTGCTTCTGAGAAGCGTGATCGTTGTGTTGAGAAGTCTCCAAAACATATGGAATTTCTTCGTAAAGCCGGCATGATCAAAGTTTGCCGTCAATTTTTGCTTCGATATTCCGATACTTTACGGTTTGAGCATATTTATAAAGCGCATCACCAGCTTGCTTCGGTATCCCGAGGAAATGCATAATTCAAGAGAAATGAGAATGACCGTTTCATTTTGAGTATCATCCATTCCATTCAAAAACCCCCACCAAACTCTGGCTAGATGAAATTTTCGTTTAACTTCTAATTTGATATGTTGCTCTTAGTGCTATAAGTCAAACTCTTACGATTAGATTTGTTCGTTTGCTAAGTTGAAATTTCATTGTGGATTGTTGTTTTCATTTGAATTTTATACTTGATCACTTGTGAAATGTTTTATCGAGCGTGTTTATGACAGCTTAATGAGTCAGCTTCTACACTGCATACTGTTGGTCTCCCGTCGTCGCTTCAGAACTCTATTGAAAAAGCGATTTTGCAGAATTTTATGGCCTCATCAATCATGGTTAGTTTTATTCACGTTTGGTCATTTATTCACTTTTTGCGTTTGGAATTTCTTCGGATAACGTTATTTTGTCTGCTTCAAATCACGTCAGCATAATCGTTTGAACGAAATCATCATCAGTAAAAATCATGGTCAACATAATCATGAAATCATTTGTTTCGTCATTTGAACTTCCTAGCTTTATAGATTTCACCTCCTCATATGGTGCGTGGAGCAATTATCGAAGCAGCCAATCTTCCGAAAGAAATGTTTCTCGCATTCAGCGATTCCACCACTCAAAATGCTTCATCAACTTATCTCAC